CATGTGTTTTGTAGTTGTCATGTAGTTTTAAAGCGCTTAGAACAGAATTGGATAAGCGCTATATAAATAACATTTTTATCATTATTATTATCATTATTTATCATTTTCCACGCACACACACACATATAACGAAGGCAACCGTCTTTATTATAGTGAGAATTCGAAATTGCGAATCTAAAAATGATCACTGAATCCAAAAATGATCACTGACTGCTGTAGTCCACGCGAAATTAACTTTTCTCATCAAATAAACGTTGTAAGTTTTGCAGCTACAGTGCACCTTTTCGGCACACACACAAAGTATTTAATAAGAATATGTTTAGAGAAACATAATGATAAGAAACGATAAAGAGAGAAAACACACGGTGTTTTGGTTTTTGTAATTGCGACGTTTCGGTGTCGTCATGACGCCATAATCAAGCAAGTGAAGATAAATAGATATTACACAAAGTATTATTTCTATTAATTCAAAAGTCATTTATTGTTTGTTAGCTCGGTATTTTTAGTCGACAACAATTTTGTTGCTTTTAAAGATTTCGGAGGAGTAGATATTTTGGGTGCAAATTTTGATRAAYGCAGATATAATAAAGAACTTTTAGGACTCCCAAAATTCTATTTTGAAGTTGTGGAGGCATGGAGTGCTATTAGTAATGAACCAGTAATGAATGCTGATGAAAAACTAAGGCAGCCTTTATGGAGTAATGTCTGTATCAAATATAATAAGACTGATCTCTGTAAAGTAAAGAAATATCGTGCTAAAGGATTTAATTTGGTACTGGATTTATGGAAAGGAAAAGAAAGTCCTAACTGGGAAGAAGCAAAATTGGCGGGATGGGAAGAAARAGACTATTTGACTTGGAGGGGACTGATAAGCGCTATTCCATTAGAATGGAAACAGCAAATTAAAAAAGGTCCAAAAATAGCCACTAAGGTTGAATTTCCCAAAATAGAAATTGCAAATAATAAAATCACTCTAGACAAAGTAAAAGCGAAGGGCATTTATAACATAATTATTCAAAAACAATTTAAAAAACCATCATTTCAAACATACTTTCTTAAAAAAACGGATTGCCAGGACATAGAGTGGACGACAGTTTATCGTAGTCATAAAACAACAAACGAGGTCAAATTAAGAGCTTTTCAATATAAGATCCTAAATAACTGTCTATATTTAAATAAAAAGCTCTTTTTGTTTAATAATGTGTAGTTTTTGTCAAAAAGAAGAAGAAACTGTCGATCATTTTTTTACAGAGTGCATTTTTACTAAACAGTTTTATGATAGTTGTAACAATTGGCTGAGATCTGTGGATCTGGGCTTGCMAAATTTGAATATTGTAAATATACTGCTTGGTCAAGATGGAAATATTTTCATAAATTATTTGTTCATTGTCTTCAAAATGACTCTTTTTCTAGCAAGGAAAAAGAAGAAAATACCTCAGGTAAATGAATTCCAATCGGCGATAAGACAAAATGAAAAGATAGAATATAATATTGCCAAAAGGACAGGAAGGCTGGCTCTCCATTTGAAAAAATATGAAAATATAATTTCTTATTTAAAGCAAGATAGCCATCCAAAAAGGTAAAAAAAAAAATTCTCTTTTTCTCTGCGCAAATACATAAAATAGATATGATAGGTGCAGCATCGTTTTGTATTTCCTTTATTGTACGTAGTTGTAATTAATTTTTGTGTGTTGTATAGTTGTATATGTGAAAATTAATGATTGTCAAAAAAAATCTCTTGTCTTTTGAAATAAAAATGTTTAAGACAAAAATTTTTTTGTTGCTTGCATAATAGTTGAAGAAGCTTTAAAAATATGACGATTGAAACACACTTTGTATATAATTAACAGGTACAGCATAGAAAGTGCTTTATTACGAGTTTTTATTTGACTCGCTCGTTCGTTGTATAGTCCAAACAGCTCGTAAATAGAAAATCCCGTACATCACACTTTCCATGAAATAACCTATATATTTCAATTTTGATAAGGCGCGAAATTTTTCTATGACCGCAATGCMTCACGGTAAGTGCTAACTTCTAACTTGAACAGGAATCAGGTGACTGGGTTTATGTTTACAATAAGGCGAAGCTGGACAACCAATGATGACCACGTGGTTTCCGCGAACCCAAAATCGAAACATGTTGTGATGGTTACCGCGAATATCCAGGTCCCATATCCTAAAGCACCTCGCCGTGTTGAGCCAGTATTTGTGCTCATCCTGTATTTCAGCATCGTATTCCTGTATTTCAATGTAGTACACGTAGGTCTTGGACTGTGTATCAGGAATGAAGGTCTTTGGATGTGAACAAGGTGTGATGGTGTGGTTGAGCAGCGTGGCTGAGCTGAAATATAGATGACACTATAACGTTCATAGGCCATCAAGGTAAAATCAGAAAAGCACTGGAAAAAATTGCGCGCTTTAAAGGTTGTAAATTGGATGTATATATCATGTAAGTGTCCAAAATGATGTAAATTTGATGTAAATCATTTCCATCAAATTTACATCATTTTGGACACTTACATCATATTTCCATCAAATTTACAACCTTTATGACGCGCGATTTTTTCCAGTGAAAGGAGCACAATGCACCCACAATTGCCGTATTTCATTATGACGTCACAGTATGTTTAAATCGAGGAAGGATGCCTCAAAAATAGTAAAAAGTTGGGCCCACTTATATTCTCTCCAAAAGAAGAACTTCAATGTTCATTCGTTTTGATATATGTCATGTATCAAAGATTGATGTTGTACATTTTATTTGATATGTAGTCGTTCCGATCCCATCTGGCGACCACAATCCTTAAAGTTAAAACAATAGAACAATAACAACAAGAACAATAGAATGACGTCATAATGCAATAGGGCAAATCTACTGGAACATGCAAAACTTATGAGTAGCATATGTTTGAGCCTATATCCCCAGAAGGCTTAAATCGGGAACTCTAGGTCTTGTGTGACTACAGGCTTAGCCTCAAATCGGAGAAAATTTTAATTTGAAGAGCTAGTGTAATGTCAACATTTTTTCGTGCTTTCTTTTGTTTTTTGGTAAGATCTTTGCGCAAGTGAGTCAGGTGAGTCTGTTGTCTACTAAAACAGCGGTCCGCTCGCATTGAACGGGAAAAAGGCTTTATTAAAAAAAACATTATTAGGTAGCAGTTCCACCCTTCAATGCACAAGGGATCCTAACGTTCGGCCATTAACCGACATACAATGTTCTCGTACCTTATGAGTCTGTCAATCTCCTTCTCATACGCGTCTTTATACATCAAATCGGCATTAATTTTCACCTCATGTTGCTCTTTATTAAAAGCATGATTATCAAAGTACACTTCTTGGAAATGTGGATTCATATTGACTCCTCTGGCACCAAAATGGAACGTCCTGGAGACATCAGGTATGATGCATTCTCGACGATTCATTTTGAGATACCTGATCCACTGATCCCAGTCGTACATTTTGTCTGGAGTTGGCCAATCKGGTTCGAGTTCGTTTTTGTAAATCTTACGCGGTAACACCCTTTAACAACAGTCAGTACATTGGTGACATTGGTGGCGGAGTTTTCTAACTATTCTTTCTAACAGATTGTTTTCCAACTATTTTTTAACTATTGTCATTATTAATATAGTAATGGCATTGATACTACTGGTAATTTACTGATACTTAATATGCTATCAGCATATGTGCAATTAGCTATTGCCTTGACCTTTGATTATTATTAATATCATTGCCAATACAAATGTTATTCTTACAGTAAAGACCTGAAAATAGGAACCTTGTTTTTTGAAAGTCTGGCAAAAAAKGTTCTTGTTTTAAGGGKYAGTTGTTGGTAATTTTGKCAAAACAGGTTCCTAATTAGGTTCTCAATTGCTAATAGGGGGAATACACTTCTTATTGTTTTGCATATATATCATAAGAATAAAAAMTAAGCTTGATACGGGCTAMAATTTTATATACTMTTCAATGGTTAATCGYACTTACCATCCAAGACCAGGCATATACTCYACTCTGTAGGTCAATGACAAGTCATTCACAGAATGCTTATAGCCCTAAGAGAGTGAATAAAATAGATACTTGACATAACTACATGCAATGGTACATAGGATCATAATGCCAACCTTTTTCCCAGGGCCTTATTCCGGGAGGAGAAAGGACTTTCTCTGTCCGCCATTTTGAGAAAAGCGGGCAGAGAAGCACTGAGGGAAGGAGMTTGTTGATATTGCATATCTCTCGTCAGTAAACGAGCTAGATGATTCAAAACTCACACATCTTTTGGAGCAATGAATACATTGGTTTTTAAAGATCCGTTCTCACTAGTGAAATAAGCGGTGAAGGAAATGCGAAGGGAAAGTTTGGATTATGCTTTTAGTAATTCAGCAACCTTTCTTCATCCTTCTCTTCTTACAAAACTGTTAATTTACAAACCTAATCAATATAGCAAGCAAACCTGATCATTCCAAGCTGATATACAAAACAGACTCTCATCTTTGTCTAGTACAGGAAGTAGTTGTTTGAAATACGCTAGGATGTCTGCCGATATATCTAAGTCTTCTTCCAGAATCACCACGTACTGGGCCTTGGGATTCTCGTCAAATGACGTCGATAAACTCTTCTTGTAATGCTGCAATAATAACACAGACACTGATGATACACCGTTACTGTATAAACCCCTGATTGCTATGAAAACATTTGCGATTTGATGATACACCGTTACTGTATAAACCCCTGATTGCTATGAAAACATTTGCGATTTTTTCAGTTGATGGTCATCTCAATATTACAAAGACTCTGTACCCCTGATTGCTATGAAAACATTTGCGATTTTTTCAGTTGATGGTCATCTCAATATTACAAAGACTCTGTACATACGACCTGTACTCCTACAGCAGGGCTGCGTGCTGGTCGCCACCCTATTCAAGCATTATGTGGTCTGCCATGCTATCGGACACCTTCTTAAAAAGGAGGCGAAGGATTCAATCAGATATCCACGGTCGAAAAACTGTTCAACGCTCGAAGGCAGCAACAAAACTGAACCACATTAGATTCCTTATTGCTCTGCTCCATTCAAGTCGCAGGACGAAGTGATAAAAATACTACAGAGTACTAAGAACAAAAGCATTCGTCTGGATGCACTCCAAGCTGTTGTGGAAAGCCCTTCCAAGCAATAGCTCACCGGCAGGCTACGCTACAAAGACACTCTGAAGGCGCCCCTTACAAACTGTGATATACATCATACAACCTGGTAAGACATCGATAAAAGCTGCACTGCCTAGCGCCACTGCGCATGTGTCAATATTGGCGCGATTTCGGAGAATGCGTCGTTATCAGGRAAATACAGCAGAATCGTCAGAGAAAAAGGAGGGCGGTTTTCAAACATGCAGACGAAGGACGAATTTCTCATACCTGACTTATCCTGGAAGTTTTATTGCCAAGGTGTTCGTGTTGCTTCACTTTGAGATTGAACAACTTCCCAACTGAAAACACGTCTTGAAAAAAACCGTCAATGTATATCGTAACCATGGATGCGTTGAGACCAATGACTTTCTTTAAGGACAGAAGCATTCTAAGTAAGTAACGAGGTCGATTGCCAGCCATGATAAGTATCGGAATATCAAATCTTGTACCGTCCAGAAATGGTGGATTATCAAAGTCTATTGATATTGGATCGGAACCTGGTAGGTGGATTGAAAAAAAGAAAACAATAATTATAAATGTAATCTAGTTCATCACTCTTGCCGTTCCTGATATTCAGAATTTCACTGGCGAATCAAGTTGGTGGTTGCTGGAATCAACACCCCGTCCTGAGACCATAGGAGCATATGTTATTCTATTGTAGAAGATTGACTTTTGAAGCTTTTACGTCACCTACTATATTTGTGATGCATTGTGGGATACRTTTCTGAAGAAACCAAAAGAAATCTTCCATGTTTTGGCCCAAACAATTCCTACAATGCATTGCATATGCGGTATATGACGTAAAAGCTTCAGAGGTCTATTGGGACTTGTAGAGTTTGAACAGCWTTTTWCTTACATTTACAWACAACRGGATAAACATCATATTTCTCACAAAACTCTCTTCTTCGTCGAYYTTGTTTCGAAWYTTTCCACTGACAATCATCGAAAGTTGAATCTCGTGCAGCTTGYAGAAAMGTCGTGGACACTTTTACAGGACCTCCCCACACATAAGGATTKGGMGATTTTTGATAACCTTCCGCCAGAACTCTGCCGCCGTATTTTCTCTTTTGGACGACAAAAGCCCATGTATCTCGCCAYTGCAAACGATTGAAGTACATGCTTCCTAAACTCTTGATTAAAAGACGAGGTTTCTTTGTCAAAGATCCAGAAGCTTCGTCCTTAAAAGTGTAGACATTTAATGAGACCTAACTATAATCATTATGAAAATTACTTTCCCGTTTCTTCACGATTCTTTTGCGTTTAAAACAAGATTAATATGACGTAATGATATTTCATGTGACATCATAGTGCAGTAACGAGTATTCCCCCGATTTATTAGTTATCATATGTATTTTTGGGGTCGCGGATTCATTTCTGAAATATCCGTCTTAATGGGTGCCTGTAAGGTGGAACGTTCACTATCGCGTAATCCCTTTTTAGACCTTAATTAAATGTCCTAAATTAGACCTCGATCCCTAACCCCCTCCCTCCTTTCTCTCCGTATAGCAACGAGCTAAAAGTAATCAACCTACCAAAACTGCGAAGCAAATAATTCTTCCAGGCGTCACATCTTCAATGAACTGTGCTAACCGCTCGCTTTCAGCCTTTGATTGATAGGTTCCAAACATATTTGCTGCCATTACAGCTCCAGTGGCCTGGTTTAAAACAGTGACGGCCACGCCAGCGAATCTCAACGTCACATCATTGACCTTCAACAWACAGAGTTAGGGTAGAGTCAAACAGTGTTGTGCGAAGCGTTTGGGGGAAGAGAGGGGGGGATGTGCTCCATTTGTAAAATCAAGCGGATGACAAATTTTGGAATAGTCCAATATAGTTTATTCGATTTATTTAAGACCGGTATACACGAGGGAGCTTGCTCCAGCAAAAAAGTTACGCAACAAATTTGTTAAATATGAGGGATATATTATGATATATTGAGAATGGCGAAAAAGGGTTGTCGGCCCAAATATTAGAGCACAGAATCTTAGACCGAAAAACTAAATAGGAAGAATTTAAAAATGAGGTCCCGCATCGCTGAAAGTTTTCCCTCCGTGTTTCTGGTCATGCGAATTCCGTGCCGTGCTATTTCATATTCCACAGTTTTACAGAGTCATCACCCATTAAATCGATCCTTAATTGAACCAGCTGAAGGTGATTTTCCTACCGTTTGTCCGTTCATAGTTATGGACGCATTTTCTTTACTTGATAGAACTTCTACATGAATCAGTCGATCTGAAAATTACAATCAATGCCTGTCAATCACAAGTCTAGCATTCTGATTGGCTACTGAAATATGACATATGGATGTTATACCATGATACATGCATCAGGAGTTTCGGAGAACAAAAACTAATGCAACTCATCCTAAAGATATTTAAATGTCCAAGTTAATGTCAAGTTGATATAATACGATATAATGATAGATTAGTTGACTTAGCAACTACRAAATGTGTTCTAAGRCACAACATAGTGATTAATGTCTCACTTTTCAAGATGGCGGACGCATAGTTCGAAACTCCTGATGCATGTATTGATTCGAGTAGAACGAACATAATTAAAAAAGTGGAAAACTTGTCCCATAGTTTGGTAGATACTAACACAGTTAGAGCTCTCGCAGTGTCATGGACTACGAGAGGATATTATTGTATACTACTTGTATACTACTTGACAAATGTAATGTTTGTTAACCGCGAACTGCAAACGCCAAGTCACGTGGTTTAGTGCTTAAACCGTTATAAATATTGACGTTTCACGTTTTGGTGGCAAGGACAGTCTCTAATGACAGGTAAATTTTATCTCACGTGTAAACAGTTTGCACATACAGTGATTAATAYGCAAACATACTCGAATTTGCTGCTGAGAGCTGTAACCGTGAAATCGTTGGTCTTGATAAAGTGGCGACGATTCTCACAAATCCAGCATTCTGATTGGCTGTTGATTTATTGGCTATTCATGTAACATCAAGGAAAAACGGAAGAAATCAGAAAAAAAAGTTATGAAAAGTGTTTTGGTTTTCTATGTTCTTCAAATTATATGTCTTGTATAGTTTCGGTAATATTTAAACAGTAAGACCATTCGAGCTASTCGTCTAATGTTTAAATACTCGCTATTCATTTCATAGAGATATAAAATATTAACACTTCGACAAACGTAAAACGCCAAAAGCCAAAAGKGGTTTKCTGTTTKAGCTGAAATGGAAATACGTTATATCAAAAAGTCTTCAAKCCGTATATGTGCCTACAATAGTTATTTATGTTTATGTAAAAATATCACACTAGTCTCAGGGTCGTGGCCACAAGTTTTAGAATGTTCRKCAGCTTTTCGGACAAATGGTTCTGATATTACAGAATAGCACTAATAATTGTCCTTCTATGAATTTTGCGAGGACGGATGCTTTATGCGGTAACCGCACACTAAGTCTAATAAGCTGTTGTTGATTTGATGCATTTCATTTCTATTTTCAATTTCGGCACTTCATTAGTCATATTCGGATTACCAACCTTCATCTTTGTCAATTCCTGGYAATAACGGACGAAATCTACCTCTTTCCTCGTCAAATKSGAAAGACTGCCGAGCAAAAAGGCTCGTTCCAGCGTCTAGAATAAAGATACAGTTCCCCACTAGCGTTATAATSACTACTAAAAGTAGAAGTCCACGTAKCAAGCGGTACGAYTGGCCTGRCTTTCTTTCAGTCTTAACAGATACTTGGACTTTGAACGAGTTGGAGCTGTTGGCCATTTTGCCAAAAAATCATAAATTTGAGGAACAAACTTTGGAACTCATCTGGCGACTAATCTATTTTACGCAAAAAGAGGTCGAGTTGTCATTCAGACCGAGTCGCAGCTAAATGAAACATTCTTTTCGYCTTAGATACGGTTGTTAGCACAAGTGGTGCACATATAATTACTTGGTTTAGTCTAAACAAGTTTGATTTGATTTGTTTTCATTGAGTGATACGGGACTACAATCGCATTGCAAACCATAAGTACATTTATCATATCCTTGCTGAGACACTTTGTAAAAGATTGAACACCTCACTCAGTTGACCAATTGGGTTAAATAATTATATCACTCCGACTCGTTCTCATGGACCATCAACTCGCAGTCCATTCAACGGACAATTACCACTCTCAGGCATCAAACTTTTTCATAACCTGAGTATAAGGGCTTCGAGGGGGCCTGGGGGAAGAGGAGGCGTAAAACAAAGGGTTCCCCCTTTTCTCTCTTTCCGTTTCATTTACCAAAAAAGCCTGATATTTAGTTACTTTTTTCACTTCAAAGCAACCTCAGACTATATACATGTTTGGGTTGTTGTTTTTCTTTTTTCTGTTCTGATAGTTGAGTTAGTTAAATTTCAATTTYAAATGTATTCAAATTTATATTTAAATTGATTAACTTGCCCAAAATTACGTCACAATAAAACGATTTACACAAAATWGATGTAATTGCATCATAACATCCAACTAGTCATTGATTGTTGTAGTTTTACTTACTTTTTTTACTTACTAATAAGATCATGCCACTATAAGGAGCCAATATTATAACACAAGTCTCCTACCTGGTGATTCGTACATGTAAATTTAGAGCCCAAGATGGCGGCCACCAAGACGTGTTTTTCTCTGTTTGACCGACAAACTGTTGAGCTTCTTAAAGGCTTTACTTTAGTTGATAAATCTRCGAATGGAGAACACAGTTTAGAGGAAGACGATTTCACAGAATTGCAAGAAAGAGGTACATTAATATCGACACTAGCTTAAGTTAAATGTAGTTTATTTTAACTTACCATATGAAACTAAGCTTCTAGTCTTATAAACCAAGGGGCATAAACAAAGCTGCATTTTTAATAAGTTAGTTTGTTTTCATTTTATAGTCCATCCCATGAAGACTGGGATGTCATGTCTTGTTTGTAAAGTGTCTGAATTTGATTCATTAAAAGCGCAGGTATGGTGAAAGGCTAATTTATAAAAGTTCAATCTCAATGTGTGAATATATATACATGGYAGAGCAATCATGTACAGTTAGCTTAATGTGTCATGAACCCCATAAGTCTTGCTGCATCTAATCTTATTGCTTGTATGTCAGTTCATAACAAATTTACAGTCTTAATTAATGGGCATGTAATTTATAGCAATTGCATTAGTCAGACGTCTGACAAAATATCCTATAGCCATAGTAACCTCTTACTCTGACAAGAGAGCTGTGTCGTGATACTGTACAATGTAACAGATACTTACAACAAATTTGAGGTACAAGTAATACCAAACGAAATCGATATCAGCTTTGGATCCTTCCTGGTAGCAGTAGAATTATATCATCRCCAACCTATGACCAAAATTATGAGAAGTTATAGATAAAACCCCTACATCCACTACAACATCCAACCAATCTCTGTTCAGATAGGGGATCCTTGTTGTTATTTCCTTTCAAATCGTTCATTAATCTCTTCCAATGTTGTCAATCTTTCAGAGAGATCACTTTAAACTTGATTGGCACCGATATAATGTCAAACAAAGATTGATGAACAAACCTGTTATTGCAGAGGAAGATTTTGAAGAAACAGTTTCAGGTAATTTTACACATTTATACACAGATTTCTTTTTAGAAATTGTCAGCATGTTTTCATATTAATCTCTTAGTTCTGGTTCATGTGTCTTGGAATTGTCTCACTGAACCAAATAGTTGATTTGTGTTGACCCAAATACATTTGTCACAACAATTTGATTCATGCATCAATCCAAATGGAGTAGGAAGAATCAGAAAAGTTCATTTAAGATGCAATATTGCAACTTAAGATTTTTGATGTGCAGCACAATAATTGCCGTGTTACTACCTGCCACTGTCACGACTTAACTGGTTCACAAGTCAAGCTGTTCATATGCTGAGCTCATTGTTAAGCCAGTTTTCAGTAGTCACTTAATTTAATATTTGTTGTAATAACATTGGTGTTAAATACACATAATAAACTGACTGCGCACAAGCTAGTTCAGCACAAGCCCTGGTGTATAATCAAGGCTATTTTATTTGTTCTTTTTAAAGGAGARCTTTCCAGCATATCAGGYTCAGAGTCTGAGGATTCTGAAGACACARACRWTGATGAKGACTTTGAAATGGAAGGCACAATAAAGCAAGTTTTACCAGAACCTAATTCATTGGRCAGTAATTTCCCCAAACAAAGGARTAYTGCTACACACAAAAGAAATCATCCRAAACTTTTCCTTTCAAGTGAAGATGGACAAGTCTTTTCACTGTATAGAGCAACYGTTTTTTCTCCTAAAAACGTCCCTGAGAGTGAATTAGATTTGATCAATGGAATAAAGCAATTACCTGAAGAAWCTTTGTGGACAGTAATCATGACAGCTGGTGGCCATTTTGCTGCTGCAGTGTTTGATGGGAATTCTGTTGTGGCACATAAAACCTTTCATAGATATACTGTGAGGGCAAAAAGAGGTACATCACAAGGGGTTAGGGACAACCAACAAGGCATACAAAAAAAGTAGGTMTTTTCYATCATCAGCATCTTATTAGAGGTGTTCAWCAGTTAAAGTAATATCTTCTTATCAACTTTTTCAGATCGGCTGGTGCTAATCTCAGGCGATACAATGAAGCTGCATTAGTGCAGGTACCTCAAGTGAAACAGTTTAAATAAGTTATATTTGATAGAAAAATTGCTACTCCACAGAGCATTATAAAAGGGACTTATCTGTAGAGTGCAGTGTGGTAAATCTCTTTTAAGCCTGGGATAACTGATTCAAAATATTATTTAAAAGCAGCKTGCAGTTTTTGAGTGTGAACMATTGATTGGCAGAAGTACAACCACTGTTCTATGTAGTCTAATTGTCTAACATTGAAATTACAATTAATGTCACTTTAGGAGGTTTATCAACTGCTAGATACTTGGTCAGAATATCTGAAGAATTCTCACAAAATTTTCATAAGGATTCCTACRTATAATAAACCAATGATTTTTGGTGGAAAAAATCCTCACTTGAATAGAAGTAAGTATGAGATATAACCATTATATTGATAGTACAAACCATGCCAATCTTTCAAATTATTATAAACCATAAGACCATTATAACATAGAAACAACAGTCACAAAAACTACCAAGTACTTCCAGAGTGATTTAATTTGAAAGCTACCTTTTCGTTTTTCTATTATCTATTCAACAGATGACCAAAGAGTAAGAACTATACCTTTTGCAACTCGTAGACCAACCTTCAAAGAAATCAAGAGAGTTCAAGAGGAGTTATCAAGAGTGCAGGTTCTTGGTAATACCATTGAATTTGAAAGTTTTGTGTTTATCTGACTGACAATCCAGATCTCAAACGATAAAAAAATACTCAAAAAGCATCTAGTTGCTATTTTTTATGTCAGCACAAACATGTCTAATGCATACACATAACTTTTAAGTACAGTCATGTARCTCTACAAAGATTGTTGTTTATTTTGATTTATTTTATTAGGATCAAACAAAGATGTTCTTGACRATGTTATCAACCAACTTTCCYCAAAGAAATCAAAGCCTTCCCTGGACRAACCAAATGAARWGCYGCAMTGCAGTGAAACTGWAGACCCTCAYCAAAGCACTTCACAAGAAGCTGTTGATGGCAATGTTTGTGAAAACATGAAACAGTCTATTAAACAAACTGAATCAAATGTTAAAGAAACTAAAAACTCTGTGTCTACTAAAAAAGCAAAGAAGAAAAAGACTTCTCGTATGGCTGATCAAAGTGGCCAAGAAAAAGTTTCAGAAGCAACCAAGAGTCCAGAAAAAAGTATGGGGCCTTTACAATTTAATGTCCAACAAATCAAATCCTAGGATCTCTATTGACTATACCTTCCCCTCCAGTAATGAAGATAATTATGATTCAACTGTCAAACTATTGTTCCATACTGAGTGCAGCCACTATTCCATGTAATAATACAAAATGATTAGAAAATAGCTGGGAACAAAGATTTTTGGTAGTTCAAATTGAGAAAAAATCATTAATTTTGAAAGAACAGAAKTTTGCGKCAGTTCCTTTGAATTAAGAACTATATYTAGAAACTACTTGTTTGTCAATAACATCATTTTCTTTTCTAACACAGTTACAYCAGAACAACACATGTGGAATCGATTTTATTGTGCCATTGTTTCTGGGAACAGTAAAGTAATTGCTGAATTGCTGATAGATAAAAAATCAGCCCACTCTGACAAAGACAGCAAAGCAACACTTGAAACTCCTAATCTTGGTGAAAACAACTGTCAAGAAGGCTCCAATAAGCAATGTGAGGACGGAAAGAATGAAGTAACATTGGAAGAGGAGTCTGATGAAAGTTCCAGTTCAAAAATAGATGTATTCAAAGTTTTAAATGAAAGGTGGGGCGAGAGTGGCAGCTCACTACTTCATGTAGCATCAAGGACATCACAAACTGAGATTATYTACACTCTCTTGCATCATGGGGCTGACCCCTCGTTAAGGTTAGTTGATTGATTCTTAAGCACTTGAATCAAGTAAAAGAGAGGAAATAAATAAGAATATTAGATATCGAACTGATTAATTATTCTATCACATGACCRAAGTCATGTGATAGAATCTCAATCAAACTTCAACTTACAGGTAAGTCTCGTTTAATTTTCCAWTTTAACTGGTACTTGCACTTGTAACCATCAGACATTTATCTACCTAGTAATGTCACTGGRCATTTTTTGGCCTACATAACTTTGTCTTGATTGCCAGTCAAATCAGTTTCATCTGAAGACAGCAAAGTACATGTATATGGCAGTCCTCTTGAAATGACTGCCATGCATGGGCCTTATATTATGGCTTTGAAAAATGTTGGATCAAGGGGGATGATTAGGTTGGCTAACCATCCCCCTTTTTGGAGTTCAAAAAATAAAGAACTCAAAATTATGTTTATAAATAAATAAAAAGAGGAAATGAAATCTGAGTGGGACTCGTTCTTAAAAGCATCTAAAGAATTGTTTATCTGAAAGAAATTGCCTTTTCTGAAGCCCTAATAATCTATAACTCTGTCTTTACTTTATAATCCAACACCCTTTATAGCATTCTGGATCCATTAGAGTGCATGTCATAAATGTGTGAAACAATAGCGTAACTATTTTTTGGGCGTATCGGTATTAAGTTGCATAGCTGCCAACTTCGTAGTTATTTTCTTCATATAAGAATTGATTCAGGCGTAAAAACAAAGACACAAAGAAATCAAAGATAGACATTTCTTTGTGTCTTTGTTTTTACGCCTGAATCAATTCTTATATGAAGAAAATAACTACGAAGTTAGCAGCTATGCAACTTAATACCGATACGCCCAAAAAATAGTTACGCTATTGTTTCACACATTTATGACATGCACTCTACTAACCTTAGCATTAATTCTTGCAAAATGCCAACATTATCAATATTTCAGAGATGACAGTGGTAAAACACCCTATGACAAGGCAAAAAGCAAAGAAACAAGAGATCAGTTTAGACGGTTTATGGCTGATTATCCTGATGCCTTTGATTATTCAACATCACATGTGAGTCTTTACAATGATCTTCAATAAATTGTAAAATTAAAATATTTATTTTAAGTTTCTGTTTATTGTCAGATCCCAAGCCCTCTTACACAAGAAATGCAAGATGAGAAAGAACGCAAGGAAGCAGAAAAGAAAAAAGCTCAAAGGAAAGCAAAAAAGCAAAGATTAAAGGTTCTTAAACTGAAGTATAATACTGTATTAGGGGCAAGTCAGTTGGAATTCTCTTAGAAAGCATAAGAACTAATCCAGTTACTTATCATAGGAACAGAAAGCAATGGAACAACAGAAAAAGGAAAAGGAACTGGAAAAGAAGAAAGAAGAAGCAATGAGTGAAAGAGAAAAGGTATCAGTAAGCACAAGTTATATTTTGGCCCTGGGGGTTAGAAAAATATCTAATGTATGGCCCTACTTGGCCGTTAAATCATTTCTCTTTTTGTACCCAACTGCTTAGCACGAGTAATGGCAGTTTATATTAACTACCTTACTGCCGTTGTAGAGAGCTTTAGCAGCAGAAAAGAGATTTTCAAAACAACTTCAAAAGAATTGTGGATTAAGGTAGATATACAGTACTTACTAGGTGTTCTTTGTTAATTGTTGCTGTTGTTTGTTTGTCCAGTCAAGAGCTTATTTTGATTTTATATACTGTTCTGTAATTTCAGCTGTGCTATGTGCTCAAAAAATCTCACAGGAAGTGTGCCATTTGAAAGGCTGACATACAAGTACTGTACTACTGATTGTGTGAGACAGCACAGGCTTATACTTGAAAACAAAGGAAGATAATATTGCTACTCTTAAATGTTAATCTAAATTATTCTTAATATATAGTACCAAACAATGTTTCCATGATCATAAAATTTGTAAAGGACAACAACAGCCAAAGTGATCTCTATTAAAAATTGAGGCAATGGTTCAAATCAAGGTTTTGAGCAATAATAAATCGAATCGGGATTCATTTATTATAAATTTAGATATCAAATTTTGTGCAAAAAAATATTTTTCATTGAATGTAATATTATAAGCAAAAGTGTACATTTTGCTTTATGAAKAAATTAYAAATTATTATTATTATTATGAAATATAAATCTATTGCCACAGCTGTAATGATGCACATTCCTATATTTTATTCCTTTGATGTTTGAAGCCATAAGTTATTTTATATCAAATTTTCATCAATTTGATTTATTGGTTTTCTATGGTCTGATTTATACAAATAACGTTATAAAAATAACAAAAAATAATGACTCACCTGTGAAACTATATTTTTGAATAGATAAAGAGTGTTTGCATTACAGTATTAGAAACTAAGGTATCAAACTACATTATTTTCCATCCATTCACTGATCTAGACTTATTCCAGAAACACTACACTTACTACATTTTTTTCAGTACTGGTAATTGTATTTTGTCAGCTATTATCACGTTCAATTGAATAAAATGAAGATTTTAAAAACATAAAGATAGTTGGAGTTTTTTGAGCCTCAAGATTGTCACTTTAAAGAGCATTTTAATACTGTGAGATTTCATATTCGACAAAGATCACAGCATAGTAACAAAACCTTGTCCTATTAAGAAAACCCACCATCATGGCACGATTAAAGGTTTCTGTGAACCTGAAAAGCACATATCAATCTCAAATATCATAGATCAGGCTTTTTTCAATTTAAGTATTACTTCATTTCAAATTTTGAGTTGGTATTACTTTTAATTTGTGACATTATATAAGTTTTTTTTTGTCATACTACTGAACAAAGCTGATGAGTTTCAGAGTAACGTGTATTGATATTAATTATGGATATTAATTATTAATATTCAGCGATATCAGAAATTATTACAAAAGTTTAGAAATGTCAGCAATTTGTCCAAAGAATGGTTGCTCATGTAGACAATTCCTGACATGTTTAGGCAAACACTCCTCCATTTGGTGCAGCAATCCTTCAACATCCTSTCTTGACCTACGTGAAGTCTGWGCCCTGCAAATTCTTACTGCCTCTCCCTGAATAATCGCAAACAACATATATAATATTTTAGTAACTTGTATGTTTTCAAAATTAATATAATTATGGGTTTTTCTATCATATTTAGATAAGAAACTTACACTCTAAATGATAAAGGTTTTCTTTCCACACAAGTCATTCAACAACCTCTGCATTGTATTGTATAATGTAATTATTACTACATTGAATAGCAGTATAAGGATATGACAAGTCAAAGTCATCATCAATAAACTGGCTGCACACAAGGCTATTTAGAAGTCATATACAGTAACACTAAAACTTACTTTCAAATAATTGACAACCTTGAGTGGCCTACATTCTGCAAGTGAGCATGAATCTGCACCTTTGGAMTTTATCAGACCTTAAATTAATAATAAAATGTATCTAACTTTAAAAGCAAAAGTATTAAAATCATATTAACAAACATAATTACCTAAGACTTGAGCAAGGTCAGGAACTCCATAGAATGGTAAGCTCGTACAAATACACATCAAGTCAACTTTTAAATCTCCAGTTTCTGAATCTGAACATTCAAATAAGAAACCTCAGAAAATGAGGATTGCAGTTTATAGCTTTTTGTTAACATATTTTTTAATGTATWATTATCATATATATTATTCATACCATGTTTTATTCTTATTTCAAAGCCATTGGACTTAAGACGTTCGTCGATGATGGTTCTACAAAAGTTCATTAGTATACATGAAAACATATATCATCATGATTACAGCCTCCTCTACATAAATACTGGCAACTTGTTTTAGGGTTCTGCATAATGGGGTTCCCTCTTCTCATATATTTTCTCCAAGAAATGACCCCAACAGCAGTAAAAGTGTAGCAATCATGGCAAGAGTTTACTGACAGAGCTTTAGAGATTTAAAATTAYAATAAAATATCATGGAAACAATAATAAAAATTACCCTTTCTAGCTACAGTACTAGTTACATACTCTGATATGTTGATTAAATCACTTTGACTTTTAAGGTTGAAGAGAACATCCCAACAATCATTACCTCCAATAATCCTACACAACAAAATACCATAATATTCTAGATTGTATTACACAGAGGTATGACAATGGCTTTAACACAAAATTAAAAAAAAAACTGCATAATAAAAAATAAAATTGTTAATAATAGACAAAAAATAAGGAATAAGAGGGTTGAAAGACAGCCTACACCATARTGTGGAATTGTTGGTATAGGTACATGTACTACCGTGTAAGTGATTGTTACAAACAAATCATTTAGTCACTACAAATAATACATTTTATCCTGTTTATAATATGGCTCATATTCTGCCCAACATGTGGTACTAAGAAATCAATGGTATAATATTATGTGTTGTACAATACTTATGTATTCAAGGTTGGCCTAACCTGGGACTCAGCTGAATTGAATTGTCAAGTTTTTCACTGGACAAGACATGAGTGTTCATGAGTTTATGATACAATATCTGTTCTTGGATTCTATAAATAAAAAAATAATTATACCTTCAGTAAATAAAACGGATAGTCAAATAATATCCAATGAGCATGCAAAATAAGAGCATGGTTATCACCAGAGATGTGAACCTAGTCATAGTTTTCACTCCTGAGATGTCGACTTACAGTCTGATCAATGATAGTTCTATACCTGCAGTGATTGACAAAGATAATTTCAGTTTGTTGAAGCATCAGCCACACACCAGATGGTTCCAACCAACCAATAAGCTCATTCCTCTTTAAATCAGATTGCCCATCAGTCCTGTAATGAAGCCCAACATTTACAAAGTGAGTACAGTATTGTATGGCAAAGTATTGACTTGCCATAGTTGATTAGACTATTTGGCTATCTAAGTCCCTTCTTGAAAGAAAAGATTCAGAGATGTACATTTTATAAAAAAAACCTTCTGAAAGTTCCTGATCATTGGAAATATTATTTTCCTCAAARATGAACTTTTAAGCTGAATACATTATAACTAAGGCTTCTATTTCTGATGGCAGGCTAAACCTTTCCCAAATGGCGTTCATTCCATTCCATTCCATTACTTCCATTCATTATCKTTATCATTATCCTTGTCATTACTAGTAAGCATATTGAAACTTTACATACTTGGAGTTATGTGTTTTGTTGTGAGCCATTTTAAGGTTTTGTAGAGAGAAGGATGCAACCACTTTGTTAGCTTGTTTTAATCTTTCCTTTGGTGATTGTGAAGCATGGAATGTGATCAGTGACTGGTTGAGAATCTGTGAATACAAGTAAARAAAAAAAGTATTATAAATGAATACTTAAAAACGCAATTGATTTTAGATTATCAAAAATAACATGTATTATCACCTGGGGTATGTTGTGGATTCTTTTGCTTGAGGCCTGCTTCTTTGCCTAAAAGGTATTAATTCATTATTCAATTAGATTTTAGGACAAGTAATAAGGTAGTAATTAAACTTATATGATATCATGATAACACACAATACMTTATTTTCACTTGAGTGTTTTCGTTTTCCCAAGACTGGAGTTGTTTGGTTATGACCATTTCTTGAAACAATACTTCTCTGGTTAARATGTTGTCCTAGGGGACGGGTTGCCTGGTGTTGATCTTGCAATGTTGCTGAAGTAAGAAGTTGAACTGGCTGAAGGAAATATAATAAGCAAATATTCTATTAAAATATTGAGAAATTTGTGGACCATTTCATCAGTCTAGCCCGTTCGTCTAGCCACTAATTGCCTAAATTTACTGACAAAATAAATATGTTTTCTTCATTTAATCTTTTATTACCTCAACAATGTTCCCTTGGTTATCCTGTAAAGCATTTCCCATGCTCCAACTTTTTTTATCCACATTATTAACAGCATTGTTTTTATTTTCTCTTTCATTTGATACRACAGGAGCTTCTTTAACTGAAGCTTGCTGGGTGGCCTGTGTGCATAGAACTATCTTCTTGTCAGCAACATCTTTCAGTATTTGGTCAAATTCAATGTCATCATCAAAAACATCATCGAAGCTTGAATTGACAGAAGTATTCTTTGGAGAGACAACCTTATCATCTGAAACCCCACAATTACTAGTATTTGTTGCTCCTCTGACATTGGTATTRTCCTCCAGTTTGTTATTTTTTTCTGCATCCTCTTTGCTGTGTCCTGGATTATCAAATGTGTTATTTTGTGAGGCAACAGTGTGCAGTGGTTCCCCTACTGAAATCTCTGAATCATTTCCTGTTTGATTGTTACCTTCAAATGTACTCATCTCTGAATTATTTTCAATTTGATTGTCGTCTATATTTCCATGGCTGTTTGAGTTAGACATGATAAAGGTCTTATCTTTGGTGGTATCTATTTTACCAGTAAGACTGGGTTTTGATTTATTTATATTTTCAGACATACAATTTTCTTTGTTAAATGTATTATGATTTTTAAGTTCTGAAGCATTATTTTTCTGTGTCAAACATAGTAAACTATCAGGTTTTGAAGATTTATAACAATCTGTCTTGTGAATGTCATTATCTGAAGGACTAGRTGTGTCACTCCTTTCAYTGCTAGTAGCATTCTGTGGCAGGCAKGMTGWTTTTATGGGATATRCAATTTGTTTTGATYTTGYTGTATCAAATTCACTGTTATTTAGAAGACCTTCATGAGCYGTGGTATTTAAAGTTGATGATGCTACTGGRTTGAAATTCCCATCAACAGAACAATCAATGATATTAACAGTGTCACTATCAATGCCACTAATACCTCCGCCACTTTCACTTGTATTTCCACAATTTGGAAACATGTTTTTTCTTGTATCACATGAAGGTTTTTCAGATATAAGATYATGGCTATCTTCATTTGGAGCATTCTGGACATAAAACATTTCAAGCAAGCATTTTAAAGCATCAAGAATTTTWTCTTTTTCTGTCAACAAGACATGAGTCTTGTTTGGTTCCARATTGACATCCACTCCATCAGGGGGAAGTTTRATGCTCAAAAACATGAATGGATGCTTTGATCCTGCTGGAGTGTAGTGCTGTCGTATAAGCTAAAGAAAGCAGAATAATGAATTATAGGTTAAATGAATTTTTCTTAAGCTCGTATAATATCCTCTTCAGGTCACACAAAAAATCCTGAATCCAGATTCCTGGTTAAAATGAATAAAAATTAATAATACACAGATACACTGAATTAACAAAACTCAGTAAAAGCAACAAGTCTCAGTAAAAACATGATTTTAGAAAATAGCATTCTCACCTGAGAGACTTCTTTCATTACAACAGGTCTGTTATTGATAAAAAGAAATCCTCTATCATTGTTGGTCCGGCATGTAATGGTAGGATCAGAACCAGGTTTGGGTAAATAACCAAATATTTCAAACTTAGATTCCTCATCATTGTAGTTAACTTGGTCCATATGACTCATGACAGATGTACCAAAAACACTTATCAATGCTGTTTTGTAGCTGTTTGTTTTACTCTTCTGCCAAATTATTGATTTGTTATGCCATAAAACTAGACGTACACCAGGGTGTATTGAACCAAATGCCATCATTAGCTCTTCAACTTTCTTTAGTTCCTCCTTGCATTTCTTTGTACTGTTCAAGAATTGCTTCCTCACTGGYAAGTTCTTGAATAAGTTAGTGACAACTACAGTAGTACCCGTTGATGACGGCAAAGGCCTGKTAGATCTGATTTTCCCTGCTTGTCCGAGGGTATAACACTGCGCTACARTATTCTCTTTAGTCTTTGTTGTTATGGTGACATTTCCAACTGAACACAAGGAGCACAAGGCCTCTCCTCTGAATCCGTAAGTTGTAAGTTCAGTAAGGTTTTCAAAACAGCTGATTTTTGAGGTATAGTATCTTTGTGCCATGACTGCTACATCAGATGAATTGATGCCACTTCCATTGTCACGGATCTCTATCCTCCCAAATCCATACTCTTCCTGATAAGAAACAATAAATCTCCTTTAAATACTTTTAAATAACCAACCACCAGTGTAGGCGAAATTTTTCTGAGCAATCATTACATGCATCTACATATCTCACCACAGATTCTAGTACCTACATACTATAATGGTGTATCTGGACAGCTGCAAATTGGGTGGCTAACTTAAGCACAAAATAAAATCTATTTCAAGTGAATGCTAGTCTAGTTGTTATTTTTACAACGAGTCCATTCAGATGTAATTTCTTCTCCTATTCATAAATGTATATCGTAGTTTCAATATTTCTAATTAAAGGGGATGTCTAGCTACCTCGCCCCCCAGGATAGTCGCCCCGTAGTAACACCAGTTTTCAAGAAGGTCATGCAAGACTCAGAGCCGTCTGTTCACCACGTCCAACTCACAAAGAAGGATGATTAAATATGAAACCAGAGGAAAATCTTTAGGTCAGAAGCAGSGAGAATACAACTCGTAAACTTTCAAAATCACACGATCAGCGGATCAGCGCGATGCAAATATCACTCACCAGTTTCACTTCAACATTATCAGCGCCASCATCAAGCGAGTTTTCTACTAGTTCTTTCACTGCTGTGCCAACTGATGTTATTACTTGTGAGCTCGCTATTCTGTGGATTGTCGATGAGGGAAGTAAAGTCAAAGAAGCCATTTCATTCACACAAACATTCAGGTTTTCTTCGTTTGAAAATCGAGCGGGAAATGGAGCAGGTCACGTGGGAATCATTTCCGAACACTGGACGATTTTGAACGAGAGCTGTACGGATAATTTCGGTAATTGGCCGATGACAGTCGCCKTACTCTCGGTGGACAGAAAAACTTAAAGTGACTGAAATACATTTTAATTAAAAAGAAATTATATAGTTAAGTTTCATAAAAAATATATTCTTATACACTAAATGAAAAAATCAATATTTCTATTTCCAGCCCACAGTAGACCAGTACGTTTATAAGACAAAGTGTATTTTACAAGGAGTCATGTTTTATCAGAAGTGATAATGTTTAATGTACTTCTAGTTGTGTTTATTTTTCATATTTTATTAGTATTTTTCATAGCACACTTAAGTGAATATATAACAATTTCTGCATATTTCTTGAGCATGTGTTCTCCGTCCCAAGGGATTCAAGGTCATTTCAAGCATATTMATTTCAGGTTGCCATGGGTTACCACTCCAATCAAAGGTTTGTATACATGGTCAAAACCTGAGTAAAAGCTTGGGAAACTGCAGCGCCTTGTATGTGAGATTTTAGCCGAATTTCTAAAGGAAACCTTGGGTGTTTATCTCTGGTAAGTATCTTGATGATTTTCGTAAGCAATTAGTGCTATCGCTTTTGAAAGAATTGGCTTTTCAAGAGGAGCACAGCATGATCAGAACTGCATCACATTAGGACGGCTGAATTGTTTTTAATTTATTAAATCGTATATTCCATTMTTTGATCACAGCTGAAAKTAACACAGATCCAAGATGGTTGTAGATAGAAAATACTCCGCGGAAACAAGGCAGCTTTTAAATCAGAAAGRSCTGAAATGCGTCTGCGAGCTGTGCGATTGTGGGTACGTGATAAATGTATCTCTTCATTACTTTGTGTGTCGCAGAAGGTGATAAAAGTTCGGCCCAAAATATTGTTGCTAAGCTTTGTGCTATGATAAAATGTTTATTAAATCAGGGTCCGGCGAGAAAATTTTGCAAGCCTTATCCGAAAGAAAACCACTGAAAATTATGCATAAAGTTTTGGGTAGACAGTCAGTAAACAATACTTAAGTTTGTAAAACATGCAGAATCAATTCAGTTTCTTTGTTGTGTCAAGATGGCATGGTTTGCCGGCCATAGAGAACGTGAGAATTTCAATATACCATAACATTGTATTGAATAATCCTAATTAGATGATTAAAATAGCGTAAAGAAGCTATAGTATAAGTTTTTTGGGGACTGTAAAATTGTCTTTAACATTCATGTATATCATGCGMRGGTCGTTTCATTTCGACCATTACGCTGTTTGCATACAGAAAAWTTTTTCGAATTTTCACTTATATTTGTGTGTTCAGCTGGCTTTTAATTTTGAGAACCTGGAATATAACAGGAAAATTATTCATCAAACACAGCAATATCAGATAAGATAGGAGAGTGTTCTTTAAGAAAGGTTTTTTCTCTCTTACCATTTTCTTTTTTTTCTGGCAAATATTCAGATCACTTTATTATTAACACAGCACTRTCAAATTATCCATCTAGATGTTAACAAATACTGAGAGTAATAAATGTGTCAAAAAATTGTAAATYTTGAGAAAAACTATTGAGAAAGCCATGAAGATCAATGGCTCAGAACTTGCTTAGTTTGGTGGTGTGATAGTTAGAGAGGCAATCATGATACCAGATATTATATCATTTCTTTTAGTCTTTTAGAACATGTCGCTCGGCATAGGTTGAGCAGGTGGCTGCTATCATGTGCTATGCACCAATTTATGTATTGTTGATTGTTATTATTTTCTAATTCGTACTTTGTAACTTTGCATGAATAACATTGGTGGAAATTTTAAAAACGATTTCCGAAACAACTTGTCAGCAAGAAAATACCTTGCAACATTTCAAAAACACGCATATTGCAAGTGATATTTGTATGTACGTTGTATTTTCTAAAACACGTTGTCCAGTCCAGTTCCGTAWTGGAATAATGGTTTAACTTTTACGTTCGTGCATAATGTCATAKTGGCGCCTTTACGCCTTTTCAAACAGAAATCACAAAAATTCGAAAATTGCACAGCACATGCTCATCAAACATTTCGTACGCTGTATGTAACTATGTTCACATATATTGCTACAGTACTTTAATATTCCTGTTCTTTTGTATTTCTCTATTGCWAGACGCTATCATCGACACGAAGGCTGTACCAAGAATGTCCATAAGATTCAGCAAGTTTTTAAGCGTCCAGGAATGGGTCACGTGGCGACTGACTATCAGAACACTTACAAGCAGCATGAGCATGCTCGTCAAAGACATCTAATGAGACCATTRCCTAAACTTCGTAATCCCAACCCTCCCCCCATGGATTTTAGAACTGAGCAAAGAATGGAGTTTATAGAGAGAGAGATACCTATGACTAAACCTTGTAAGGTAAGCCTTGCTGAGCTCATTGCAGGTTTGTGAAGCTAACTGTTCGTGAATGATGTCACTTCTTTACAGTGGTACATCCGCAGAATTAAATGTCTAGTGCGCACRTYTGCTCCTATACATGTCGCRTGTCTCTTTCGCGGGATCCGTTAGCCTTTTAGCAGCATGARACTCCTGTGTCCWCAGTCGGAGCGYCGTCATGATAAAATAGTCCCGCTTTGAAGGTGACCTTCGAAACCAAGCAAATCGTTWGTCGTCATATGAACKTTTGACTCTTTTGCGAAAAACTATTAAAAAAAGATTGATATGTAAAACTTGCCCCGAGGACAGTAATTTAATTCTTGACGCCAGTGCACACGTACTTGTTTCTTGCATGTAATATTCCGTAAAACTACACAATGATAAATGTATGAGAGTCTGAAGGTTAATATTGAATAATGAGTAACGGCTCAAAATTGACTGGGAATAATGAACAATCAATAAAACTCCTAAGGAAAATGAATAATGAAAAAAAATCAAAAAGGAATAATGAAAAAAATCAAAAATATCCTTTAGTAAAGTATAATAGCAAAAATATATACAATGATTAATGGGATAAAGACACGGATAAAAAATAATTGGCATGTGACCTTCAGATCCCGATACAAGTGCTGCGCAATCCAACTGAAACAGCAAAAAAAGTTGAACAATTAAGATTGTCACATTTTATCATACATTAAGCAATCCATTCCATTTTAAACTTCTATTTTCTTTGCAGATGGCCGAATCATACGAGCGATCCGATGAAAAGTTGGATGGCCTCACAGTTTATAAACAAGAATTCATTCAGCGAGGAATTCCTTCTGTTCCCAAAGTAACCCGTCCACAGACGATCATCGCTCCAAACATGACAAAGTTTCAAGACAAAACAACTCATAACACAACCTTCACACGCAAGGTTCCTGCTCCACAAGTGACATATGGCGAACTGCCAAGCTTTACCGGTTCTATCTTGTTCCCTGATCCTGCGTCGGACGTAAAGACAACAAACCAGGAAGTTTATAAAGGGAAATTCGCTAAAGTAGCTGATTTATGTAAACCAGCACAAGCACAGGTTACCATCGGCATTGAAGGGCAGYACTCACACGAAACTACCCATCGCGATACATTCAAAACCCCTGATAAAGAAGGAAGACAACAGCTGAGGAAACGAAACCCGAATCTAAAAACGGACGCGCGAGCCAAATTTCAATCTCAGACGCAATTCAAGAGTGACTTCCCAGGTTATGGCGGGAAAATGCCCAAGCCCACAAGGATGATCCAGCCGCCACCAGAAACAGTCAACCTGGCTATGAATAACAAAAGGGAGTTTAAAACGACCAATGAGCAGTTCTTTACGCCGTCTTGGGAYCCCAAGACTATTGGTAGAACCCAGATATTAAAGCCTGATGCAGGGATCTATAAAAAACCCGACGTTAAGATGCAAACAGTCACGCAATCCATGACTGATTACATTGAAAAGGAGCCAGTCAAAATGCCCAATATTCGACCACAGACACGAACAGAACCGAACAAATCAAAGTTTCGCGATGAGACGGCATATAACAGCCAGTTTAAACACTATGGAACAGCCCCATTTAAGCGTTACGGAGACCYACACGAATCAGGCTACTACCTCAAACCTGTTACCAAGTTCTATCAGGATGGGTCCGTAACAATGCAAGACTTCCAAGGTGCACATGGTGGAAAGCCTAGCACTCCTCACGTACCAATACAGAAATTGCATAACAACGAAGGAGAAATATTAGATCAAACGACTTACAATTCGACCTATGTCCAAAAGCCTGCACAAACGTGCTCTTACCTTGAGTGGGTRAAGGAGAGGGAAACAAAGAAAATGGCGGACAAGATCATGCAAAAACACCAAACAAACAAGATGTTTMAGGAAACACACACTGCGAAAACGGCCGTTGTGTGTGGCAAGTGAGTTGCTATTATTGAAAAGAAGCGTTCGTAAAAATAATCCTAAWGAGAGTGTTGTAAATTTTGAACTGACCATATAGTAGCTACAATCTACGGATTAAAACACTTATCACTGAAGGAACCTTTATTATTATAATTGAATCAATGCACATAGTTAACTGTTTAGTATCGGAGACTATACACTATTTCAGGTTATATGTTGTATATTGATGACTGTCTATAATTTAGTCTCCTCTCGAACGAACGTCCTAACGGCTGCGAGAGGAGACTATCTATAATTATGTGAATCAAAAACGCATTTACTAAAGCTCAAAARTATAGGTTAGGAACTCGTTTTTCTATGTATTTGATATATATATATGATATGAATAAAACATTGAGTACTGATTATTCACTGGTACATACAGTCTGGAAATCCATGGTAKCCTTGCTGGCAATTAAAACCAAACACCCACGGACAAAAGCAGTAAACGGACAAGTAATTATGTTCTCGGCAGCATTTATCATGCTGCAAGCAGCCTTTGTGCAAGCAGCAATCGCCGCAAACCCACGGCCAGCACCAACAATCTATGCCACACATTCCAAAGCATTCTCCTGATTTCTCCTTGTGTTTTTCCTCCTTGCCTGGAAAAGTCGTTTCCTGACGCATATCTTTGCAAACTGATTGAGAGTGAAGATGGGYACTAATCTGTGAGTTATTGTACGGGTTGTATCGTCTTGCCAATAAACCAGACGCAGAATTACTTTSTAAAGTCCCAAAAGGTGAACCAACCACTCTAACACATCCCTTTATCAGCCAATGTAAACGCTGAAGGAGTTCATTATTCCCTAATTTTGGCGTTCTCGACAACATCTCAGACATCTTAACCAGAAGATTTGTTTCTTCCTGGCTCATCTTATCCTTGATGTTTTGTCGTCTTTTGAATCGTAAGTGGGAGAACGTTTTGAGTTGCTGGATTTTTGGTCGGAGAAAGTTTCTGAGGGCGTGAGATGAGTCTGTGTTTGATGGTACTTCCCAAGGTAAATGGTATTCATCTGTGTTGTATCTGGATTAAAATCGGGGAATTGTATCAAACAAAAATATAAACCAATTTTTAAAAACCGAATTTCAAACTTTAGAAGTAGGAACTGAAAAAATGGTCATGAATAAAGAGCCCCTCCCAGGGGTTTTGGGGAACGAGGGCATTTATTTTAAGGAAACAGGGGATATTATAAAATATATACGCAAGATGCCTTCAACCCTCTATTGTTTGTGGAAGATTCTGAAAGATATGTCTGTGTGAGCAACATCGTTTATGTGCTAACCACCTTGACGAATGTGACGACCTTTTTGCCCTTCTTGATGTGATTCTCCAAACCAATGACGTTCTCACCATTGGAGAGGCAGCTGAAGCGACAACTGATGACGTAGAGCTTGAAAGCCATCATTCAACACGGGAATCAAGGAGAAGAAAGAGACGAATCGAAAGTGATTTTTTTCTATTATGAATAGAAAGCTCAGAAAAGCTAACAAATATTGGTAACAATGCTAAAATTTTCTGGGGATCAAGGGAACAATGCAAAAGGTTTTGGGGTTCAGGGGAACATAGGGTGAAACAATTCAGGGAACATGGGAACATGGACCCCCTCTGGGAGGGGCTCAATAGATCTTAACCTACGAGCAGCGAAGAATTTTTCCACCCCTTATCTAATTGATGCCTTGCCGGATTGGAATGTTAATAATTCTGTAATGAGTGCAATCGTCGATAGACGGTAATTTGAAAACTCCGTAACATACAGCATGGCGCACCATGTGTTGCTAAAAACATCAATGATGATTATCTCTCGCAAACGACGAAATTTAAAGCAAAATTTGTCGTAAATTTAATGGCCTAAAGTACGCARTACACTTTCTTGAGAACTGTTCTGAAAACCTTGGAATAGGAAAAAAGTCTTGATGTGAAATTGTTCAGGTGTTTATGTAGCGTTAGCGCGTCAGCGCCTTAAAAAAAAACAAAGTGAAAGACCTATGCGTAACCTTGAATAAAACAAATATCTGAGA